GTCCACATTTCTTACACAAAAATCATCGAAACATCTCAAGTTTTTGTTCGATGTTTGAATCCCCAGATTTTCGATGTAAAAATCCAGTTCCAGATCATCATCAATATCCCATGATCTCCTCCCATTGAATCCAATGAGATCCCATTTTTTCTGACCCAGATCCATAAAAATCCACAAAAATCCCAAGAAAAATCCTGGTTCAACGGGGATTTGATGAACCAAGGGATGAAACATCCCAGAATTTCCATGGGGAATTCATCATGGACTGAATCAGCAAATCCACATGAAAAAAAATATATAGTCAGAAGCCCATGCATATTCCATTATCCCCTGAATGTTCCATTAATCCATGAATTAATCTATCATCTATTATAGTTAGTAATCCTATCATATAATTAACTGAATCTTAGTGGAATATCTATCATTTTATCATTTTTGATAGAGATTAATTAACTATAGTTCTATCACTATCTTCTGCAAAACCAGAACATCCCTATTAAATCCCAGCTATATAAACCTCAATGTTTACTTGATTTTCCTATGGCTTCCCACTATAATCCCATGTTTTGTCCCATTTATGATGCATGAACATCCCATCAAAACACTATAATATCCCATCAGAACACTACAAAATCCCATCAAAACACTATAGAATCCCATCAAAACATTATAATATCCCATCAGAACACTATAAAATCCCATCAAAACACTGTAGAATCCCATCAAAACAGTATAGAATCCCATCAAAACACTATAAAATCCCATCAAAACACTATAAAATCCCATCAAAACAGTATAGAATCCCATCAAAACACTATAAAATCCCATCAAAACACTATAAAATCCCATCAAAACACTATTAAATCCCGTCAAAACACTATAGAATCCCATCAAAACACTATAAAATCCCAAAACACTATAAAATTCCAAAACACTATAAAATCCCATCAAAACACTATAAAATCACATCAAAACACTATAAAATTCCATCAAAACACTATAAAATCCCATCAAAACACTATAAAATCCCATCAAAACACTATAAAATCCCATCAAAACACTTATAAAATTCCATCAAAACACTATAAAATACCAAAACACTATAGAATCCCATCAAAACACTATAAAATTCCATCAAAACACTATAACAATTCCATCAAAACACTATAAAATCCCATCAAAACACTATATATAAAATTCAATCAAAACACTATAAAATCCCATCAAAACACTATTAAATTCCATCAAAACACTATAAAAATCCATCAAAACACTATAAAAATCCATCAAAACACTATAAAATACCAAAACACTATAGAATCCCATCAAAACACTATAAAATCCCAAAACACTATAAAATTCCAAAACACTATAAAATCCCATCAAAACACTATAAAATCACATCAAAACACTATAAAATTCCATCAAAACACTATAAAATCCAATCAAAACACTATAAAATCCCATCAAAACACTATAAAATCCCATCAAAACACTTATAAAATTCCATCAAAACACTATAAAATACCAAAACACTATAGAATCCCATCAAAACACTATAAAACCCCATCAAAACACTATAAAATCCCAAAACACTATAAAATTCCAAAACACTATAAAATCCCATCAAAACACTATAAAATCACATCAAAACACTATAAAATTCCATCAAAACACTATAAAATCCAATCAAAACACTATAAAATCCCATCAAAACACTATAAAATCCCATCAAACCACAAAAAAATCCACATAAATCCGTTCTAATCCCATCTTTTTTCCCACGAAACTCCCATGGATTTCTCCAGTTGCGTCCCCAGACGCTCCACTCGAAGGGCTCAGCGCGGTAGCTGTCGTCGCAGCTGCTGATGACCGAAGCGTTAAAGACCTGAGCTGCGGCTGGGCGCCAACCAAAATCTGTGGACCTATGAGAAAAAGTGGGATTTAGGCATCAAAGAGTGGAAAGATTGATTTTTTTTGTGAAAAAAAGTGGATGTGTTAACCATCTTTAACCATCAAAAAGTGGATTTAAACTAATTTAACCAGCAAAAAACTGGATTTCACCACCAAAAATCGGGGATTCATCGTGAAAAATAGGGAGTTCAACTGATTGGAAAAACCATCAACAAAATGGAAAAATTGGATTTGACCTTCAAAAAATGATGGATTTCATTTCAGATTTAAAAGCATCAAAAATAGAGAAGTAAACCAGCAAAACAGGATTTAACCGGCAAAAATAGGGATTTAACCAGCAAAAATATGGATTTACCATGAATGAACTGGATAGAGAATCCAGCTTGGTGGGGATTCGAAGTTGTCGAAAACGTCTGGGAGTTCACCAGTTGATTTCTGGGACGGAAAGGACTTTCCCCTAGGGTAAACTGTTCACGATCATCCCCAACGGCGTTTTTTTGGAAAAAGATCTGAGGTTTTTGTTGAGAGGTTGCTGAAAAGAAGAAGAAATCCCACTGAAAATTGATAGTTTATGATATTTTATGATCAGAAAAGTTACATCTTCATCTATGCAAAAAGCGAAGCATCCCAGTTTTTGTATCCATGTGATCCATCGAAAAATCGTGATGAAAACATGTTCATCCAAAAACGCTGGAAAAAGAACATACCTCGCTTCAACCACCTGCGCCCCTTGGGCCGGGACCCACGGGCCCCCCGGGCCCCCGTGCTGGGCTGTGGTACATATCGCTTGGCACTTCCATCTCTTGAGCGTATGGATCCTGGGCACCGGCGTTTCTACCGCCCCAGTGATGGTTGGGGCCACCACCTTGTAGCCTCGAAATGTTGATCAATGGGAAGTCCCGAATGGTTTCTTAATTACTAGTTAGAGTGATTTCCTGTAGATGTTCCCTTCAACCAATTCTAGAAATGTTAACTTGGAACCCAAAGAATATGGATTTAGCTTCGGATATTTCTTTTGGCGTGGTGAACGTTGCACTTCTCAATTCATGGAGGTGGAATCGCACTTTGCGGATTGATATTCCCTCAACTACATAGTTTAATATTAAGATAAGTATATACAATAAGTTATATAATAAGCTATAAAATAAGTTATATAATAAGTTATATAATAAGTTACATAATAAGTTGTATAATAAGTTATATAATAACTAATATAATAAGTTATACAATAAGTTATATAATAAGTTATATAATAAGTTATATAATAAGTTATACAATAAGTTATATAATGAGTTATATAATAAGTTATACAATAAGTTATATAATGAGTTATATAATAAGTTATACAATAAGTTATATAATGAGTTATATAATAAGTTATACAATAAGTTATATAATGAGTTATATAATAAGTTGTAGAGGCTTTTAAAAAAGGGCTGGTATTGAATTTTGGGGAGTTGAAATCTGGTTGCCGTTGGTTCCCCATTTTTGGGGCTCATCTCTGCCAAAGACGGTCAAACTCCACCAACCCACCAGGCTTCGATCTTGATTCTCACCCGACTGCGCGTCAGACCATAGCATGACCATCGCAAGATATGGATATATAAGATTACTCCTGGAGCCCAGAAAATATCATGGGATAGTAATACAAATACCCTCTGGTGAACTAACATAGCAATGGAAAATCACCATTTTTAATGGGAAAATCCACTATAAATGGCCATTTTCCATTGCTATGTTAGTTCACCAGAGGGTATATAATATATACTTCATGTTCCGAGACCTCAAATCTTAGCTGCCCCAAAAAGATGGGGATATATAGTTCACTTCACCAAAGTAAGTCAAAGTTATATCATCTGTTTTGGTGGTGCTTATCCTTCCCCCTTCAGACTGGCCTACAATGAAGCCTGAAAATATTGCAGGTACGATAAAAAATGTGCACCCTACCCAAGTTGACCCAAAAAAAAGGATGGTTTTCCCAGAGTCTGTGGGGAAGTATTTTGTGGTAACAAATCATTTGCCAAGTCCAAGTCATGGATGACCATGACTTTGTATTGAAACCTATGGTAACTTGGGTACACCCCCATTCATAAGCAATCCAATTCCCCGCCAAAAAATGACAAATTCTTGGCTGGTTAGTTGGTAGATAATCCCATACCAAAAGACTATTCAGGATTAGTTTCTATCCATCCAGTTGGCCAACCTAGATAAGGGTTAACAATGGTTATTAGTTGGTTCTTAATTAATCACCATTATATAATCACCATTAATTATGGATTAATCACCGATCTTAACCCCATTATTAACCATTTTCCTATGGTTTTCCTATGGTTTTCCTATGGTTTATTAACCATTAACCACTAACCATCCAGTTAACAGTGGATTAATAATAACATGGCCATTAATCACCATTAATCACCATTAATCACATGTCGGCCATGGAGCCATCTTCACCAGATCCGTGCCAGCCAAAGTGTGGATCTTATAGCCATACCTGGGACCACCGTTTAAACAGGGTGGAAATTTCCAAAACATGGGTGTGTCTGAAAATAGTGTACCCCTAAACCCAATGGTTAATGATCATTATCCCTATTAAATGGCTATAATTGGGAATATACCCTATTTTCAGACAAACCCACATGACCTTTTGACTGCTTAAAAAACAGGGCTGATGACTGATGACGACTGATGGGAAAATGTCAGTGAAAATCAAAAAATAGATGATCCGGGAGAGTGAGGTCATGGTGTGGACACTATCAGCAACTTATGAAATTTGGCACACTCAAGGTGTGTTTTTGACCTCAATCGAAAACGCCATCCGAAAATCATCATGAACACACTATCGGATCTTGGGGACGCTGGCAGAATCAGGGACATTTCATACGAAGAAACATGTCGTTTTAAAACACCGGCAGACTTCGTTGGAATTTGGATGGCAAACACGGCATTTCTTTAGAGGCGAATGCTTGGAAGAGTGAATTTATGCTGCCACGTGATAGGGCAGGGCAGTTTATTATTGGTCCTGTTTGGGCATAGGAGTCTAGGTGCTGGAAAGGGCTAGGGATTCCAATGCTGCCATGTGTGACCCGAATTGCACCTGTGCTGCCTGTGCTGCCTGTGCTGCCGCGTTGCTTGTTTCCAAAGGGAATGTCTTCCAGTTCACCGAAGGGGACCTGAGCCAATGAGATGAAGGTGATGTCATGAGAAGTGGGGAAAAAACTACAGGATGGGCCCCCCCAGTGATGGCTATGTTGGTTTATAAACCCCATGAATACCATCATAGTTATCTAGTTCGTTATATCTACCATAAACCGTAGAATTCAGCCATTCATAAACCAACTTTTTACGCTATCCAACGGGGGCCCCATCCTGTAGCCAAAATCCCGCTTTCCAAAAATCCCGAAAACACTCCCGAAATCCCAAAAACGGTCCATGGCATCTGCAGAGTTTCCCTTAAACAGTTGATGCTTTCGAAAAACAGTTAGGTCCCTTCTTAAAAGGTACCCTCTGGTAATTTAACATAGCTATTGAAAATCACCATTTATAGTTAATTTTCCCATGAAAAAATGTGATTTTCCATAGTTATGTTAATTTACCAGAGGGTAATGACTTGGGACGCACCGTTGACCATCCCAAAGGTCCCAACATGTCCCAACTGATCAAAGTCTTGGTTCCTGTAATATCCCAAATTCTACCATCAAATACCCCGAAAACCCTCAACAAATCCTCACCAAATCCAAAAAATCTGCATCCCTCTAGAAATGCCAAGTTTTTTGGATACCAAACCACCAAACCACCCAGTTCCAAGTTCCAAAAAAACAAAAACATTGCAACTCCAAGTCACAAAGACCTCCCAGAGGCCACAGAATCCACCGTGTTCACCGGCTCGGAAGCGCTTGGCCATGGGACACGCCCGGCCGTCCCAGTTGTTCCAGTCGCCCACCACACTGACGAAGACCGCGCGCGGGGCCCAGGTCGCAAAACGGAGACCAAAGACTCCGCCTGATGTGGAAAAAAACCATCAAAAAAAGAGTTCGGAACATCCTCAAACTCGGAGGCTTAGTTCGCTGGAATTGGGCTACTTAAGGAAGTGCAGTTATGGATATTACAGGGATTTTATCCCAACTTATGGGGGTTTACAAATCTACAATCATGGATACCCATTTGTAACCTCAGGTGCGCCACCAAATAGAAAGCAGTGAGATACTTTGATGGGAAAAGTTGAGATGTTCTTGGAAAAGTGCAATGTGTTTTTTGCTGGGAAACAAAAATAGTATTGATCTTCTTGCAGAATCTGATATGGTCTCTTAAGTTTTAATGGTAAAATTGGACCCGGGTTTAGGTGCTGTCGTTTGGAAAATGTATGTTGCTTTAACTTGCATGATGCTCCAACAACTGGAAAATTTTAGAGGAAACATGGTCATTTTTCATTGAAAATCCATTGAACATCCACAGGTTCCCTTCAGACCCGGAAGTGGATGAACCCTGCCATGAATTGGGAGGTCCTTTAAAGGGAAGTTATAAAATTGTGGGTACCCGCTGGGAAAAACTGAAAACGACCTCCTTTATCAAACCCCTATGGGTCTATGGGCTGGAGGAACTCCTTCTTTTTCTCCATCTATTTTCCCTGCCTCAGAAACATGCAAGAACAACAATCCGCCGACCCCTGCCTTAGCCAAGGCAGGGGCGGCGCCTGGGACCACCGCAGGTGTGGAACTTTTTTTCGTTCCCAATGCTTTGCACTTTCCACGAGCCACCCAGGCCATAGCACCCTCTGTTCACCGCCCAGGAGCCACTCAGGCCACAGCAATTTCTGTGCACTTCCCACGAGCCACTCATGCCACAGCAATCTCTGTTTCTACGGCGTTCCAAAACGCAACAGGCCGCGGCAGACCCTGTGCAGTTCCAACAAGTCCCTGAGGCCGTGGCATTAAAGAGGTTCAAGGCTGCCGTTTGCCAGCCTTCAAAACTCCCCAAACCCTCCCTGCAGCTCCCAGGCGCCACTCAGGCCGCGGCAGACCTTTCCTGCAGCTCTCAACAAGTCCCTGAGGCCGTGGCAGCGTCTTTTTATGGACGTTCAAGGCTGCCGTTTGCCAGCCCTCAAAACTCCCCAAACCCTCCCCTGCAGCTCCCAGGCGCCACTCAGGCCGCGGCAGACCTTTCCTGCAGCTCTAACAAGTCCCTGAGGCCGTGGCAGCGTCTTTTTATGGACGTTCAAGGCTGCCGTTTGCCAGCCCTCAAAACTCCCCAAACCCTTCCCTGCAGCTCCCAGGCGCCACTCAGGCCGCGGCAGACCTTTCCTGCAGCTCCAACAAGTCCCTGAGGCCGTGGCAGTGTCCTTTTAAGGAGGTTCAAGGCTGCCGTTTGCCAGCCCTCAAAACTCCCCAAACCCTTCCCTGCAGCTCCCAGGCGCCACTCAGGCCGCGGCAGACCTTTCCTGCAGCTCCAACAAGTCCCTGAACCGTGGCAGTGTCCTTTTAAGGAGGTTCAAGGCTGCCGTTTGCCAGCCCTCAAAACTCCCCAAACCCTCCCCTGCAGCTCCCAGGCGCCACTCAGGCCGCGGCAGACCTTTCCTGCAGCTCCAACAAGTCCCTGAGGCCGTGGCAGTGTCCTTTTATGGACGTCAAGGCTGCCGTTTGCCAGCCCTCAAAACTCCCCAAACCCTCCCCTGCAGCTCCCAGGCGCCACTCAGGCCGCGGCAGACCTTTCCTGCAGCTCTAACAAGTCCCTGAGGCCGTGGCAGCGTCTTTTTATGGACGTTCAAGGCTGCCGTTTGCCAGCCCTCAAAACTCCCCAAACCCTTCCCTGCAGCTCCCAGGCGCCACTCAGGCCGCGGCAGACCTTTCCTGCAGCTCCAACAAGTCCCTGAGGCCGTGGCAGTGTCCTTTTAAGGAGGTTCAAGGCTGCCGTTTGCCAGCCTTCAAAACTCCCCAAACCCTCCCCTGCAGCTCCCAGGCGCCACTCAGGCCGCGGCAGACCTTTCCTGCAGCTCCAACAAGTCCCTGAGGCCGTGGCAGTGTCCTTTTAAGGACGTTCAAGGCTGCCGTTTGCCAGCCCTCAAAACTCCCCAAACCCTCCCCTGCAGCTCCCAGGCGCCACTCAGGCCGCGGCAGACCTTTCCTGCAGCTCCAACAAGTCCCTGAGGCCCTGGCAGTGTCCTTTTAAGGACGTTCAAGGCTGCCGTTTGCCAGCCCGCAAAACTCGCCAAACCCTCCCCTGCAGCGCCCAGGCGCCACTCAGGCCGCGGCAGACCTTTCCTGCAGCTCCAACAAGTCCCTGAGGCCGTGGCAGTGTCCTTTTAAGGAGGTTCAAGGGTGCCGTTTGCCAGCCTTCAAAACTCCCCAAACCCTCCCCTGCAGCTCCCAGGCGCCACTCAGGCCGCGGCACACCTTTCCTGCAGCTCTCACAAGTCCGTGGCAGCGTCTTTTTATGGACGTTCAAGGCTGCCGTTTGCCAGCCTTCAAAACTCCCCAAACCCTCCCCTGCAGCTCCCAAGCGCCACTCAGGCCGCGGCAGACCTTTCCTGCAGCTCTAACAAGTCCCTGAGGCCGTGGCAGCGTCTTTTTATGGACGTTCAAGGCTGCCGTTTGCCAGCCTTCAAAACTCTCAAACCCTCCCCTGCAGCTCCCACGCGCCACTCAGGCCGCGGCAGACCTTTCCTGCAGCTCCAACAAGTCCCTGAGGCCGTGGCAGCGTCTTTTTATGGACGTTCAAGGCTGCCGTTTGCCAGCCCTCAAAACCCCCAAACCCTCCCCTGCAGCTCCCAGGCGCCACTCAGGCCGCGGCAGACCTTTCCTGCAGCTCCAACAAGTCCCTGAGGCCGTGGC